ATACTGAACATACAACCCAACATGTGGAGGTAAACCAGTGGTTGATACTGAACATACAACTCAACATGTGGAGGTAAACCAGTGGTTGTTACTGAACATACAACCCAACATGTGGGAGGTAAACCAGTGGTTTATACTGAACATACAATCCAACATGTGGGAGGTAAACTAGTGGTTGTTACTGAACATACAACTCAACATGTGGGAGGTAAACTAGTGGTTGTTACTGAAAATACAACCCAACATGTGGGAGGTAAACTAATGGTTGTTACTGAACATACAACCCAGTATGGGAGAGGTTAACCAGTGTTTGATACTGAACATACAAACCAACATGTGAGAGGTTAACCAGTGTTTGATACTGAACATACAACCCAGCATGGGAGAGGTAAACCAGTGGTTTATACTGAACATACAACCCAACATGTGGAGGTAAACCAGTGGTTGATACTGAACATACAACACAGCATTGGAGAGGTAGACCAGTGGTTGATAATGAACATACAACCCAACATGTAGAGGTAAACCAGTGGTTGATACTGAACATACAAACCAACATGTGGAGGTAAACCAGTGGTTGATACTGAACATACAACTCAACATGTGGAGGTAAACCAGTGGTTGTTACTGAACATACAACCCAACATGTGGGAGGTAAACCAGTGGTTTATACTGAACATACAATCCAACATGTGGGAGGTAAACTAGTGGTTGTTACTGAACATACAACTCAACATGTGGGAGGTTAACTAGTGGTTGTTACTGAAAATACAACCCAACATGTGGGAGGTAAACTAATGGTTGTTACTGAACATACAACCCAGTATGGGAGAGGTAAACCAGTGGTTGTTACTGAACATACAACCCAACATGTGGGAGGTAAACTAGTGGTTGCTACTGAACATACAACTCAACCTTATGGAGGTAAACCAGTGGTTGTTACTGAACATACAACCCAACATGTGGGAGGTAAACTAGTGGTTGTTCCTGAACATACAACCCAGTATGGGAGAGGTAAACCAGTGGTTGTTACTGAACATACAACCCAACATGTGGAGGTAAACCGGTGGTTCATACTGAACATACAACCCAACATGTGGAGGTAAACCAGTGGTTGTTACTGAACATACAATCCAGTATATGGGAGGTAACCTAGTGGTTGATACTATACATACAACTCAGCATGGCAGAGATAAACCAGTGGTTGATACTGAACATACAACCCAGCATATAAGTTGTAAACCAGTGGTCGGCACTGAACATACAACCCAGCATGGGAGAGGTACATCAGTGGTTGATACTGAACATACAACCCAGCATGAGTTATTCGTTGGATATAGACCATGAACATGTCATGCGACCTGGATCAGGCAAATCAGCAAAACTGTCTGTCTGCATCTGTGCGAGACTGTTGATGCATGTAAGTCTGTAAGTCTATGTTAGGACAAGAGTAACCTCGTCTCTGGTCATGGGCCTGTCACAGATATTGAAATGTAAGTGCATGTTTGAAGATATTGTACACGTTAACCCATCATGTTGATAGATCATTACTAAGTGAGTGGGGTTAAGGGTCACTTGAGTATTTCAGTTATATCATGGTGTGTCAGCTTCATGTTGACTGCAATCAAGTGATGCGGGTCTCAGATGTTTACCACTTTGTTGAAACCCACGAGCAGAGGTAGAATGAATAAATATTTTAAACAACATTCAGGGCCATCAACATTTTGGGAAATCATTTTAATCATATGATAAAATATATATTTAGACTATATGACATCAATAATACAAGTGTATGTGAGATAACGGTACATGTGATTGTGGTGCTTCATCAACATCAAGTCCTATATCTCCCACAACTTAAAACTGCAAACGATGGTCAGTGTACAAGAAGTCTTTTCAGCTGATTTTACTGTATGTCATATTTGTGTAACTACCATATTACTACACATAGACATTCGTCAAGCCAGTCACTTCTAACATAACATTCTGCATGAAACAAAATGCAATAATACATGACGTGAAAACTCATGTGTACTTCACCCAACAAAAGATTACTTTGATCATATCCTCATCCATCACATGTTGATGGCAAGAAGCATTCAACTTACACAATAGAGTCAAGTGTTCATTCGGGCAATAGGCTTCACTCAGATTTTAGATTGAGTTTGATTTCTAATTAACATTATGCCTCTCCATTCTGTGTTTTTCACAGGAGTAAAGGGGACTTAATTATTTATTACCAAATAAGGATTACACATGTGTGGCTGTTTGTACCAGTCCATACTTATATCATGTTTGTTTTATAGCGTTAGCCAACTGAGATACGATGCCGCAGTTTAACATTGACACCCCACTCAGACACAGTATAGACACCGAGCCGACCAGTCCTTGGTTTGTCCATTCTGGCCTGTACATCCTAGCGCTAAAAGTTTTGACTCATGTAACGATAGGTTAATTGAGTTATTGAAACACAACATGGTAAGGTGAGAATGAGATCATGATTGTTGCATGCACGTGTCTGGCAGCTTGTATGTGTGCGGATGCGCTGTTTTTGTAGTGCTAGTACACTTAATGTCGCGCTCCAGGCAGGGTAACAAGAAATACCATTCTGTAATGTCTTTTGGTATGACGTGGTCAGGGGATCGAAACACTGCCCCCCTCTCTATCCACTACAACATGGACGCGGCTTTTTGTGTGCAACGTTAGGAGACTTAGCAGTTATATCATATAAAGATATTCACTGATCAGTAACTGATAGGATCACAGTATTTTTTGTTGTGTATTATATATATATATATATATATCTTATTAGTGTATAAGGATAATTGGACAAAAGTACAACATATACACATTAACAGTGGACATACATGTAGTTGACATTGAACCTTGACATTGAGAAAGGGGACGGGTTTACAACAAAGTATTTCATATAACCTCTTAGCCCTATGTGAAATATATGGTACAACAGTTCAGCTATCAGAAACAGAAACGTTTTGGAAAGGAAGGTGGCCATGATCGCAGTTTGTGGAACCACTACGGCAACGTTGGTCCAGGTACAACTAATCATGTCAAGGGGTGGCATGGGAAACTAAGTCTTCATACTGCCGGCTCCCATCCCATCTGAAAACTGAGCTGTGATGCAGCTAAGCGGTGGTGGCCACAGACAGGTGCGCAAAGAGAAATATACAGAATTGGACAATGCCCTGGCCGTATACAAGAGACAAATTGAGAACTGACAGAAATGTGCTATCGGTTGTGTTGTTGCATTATATCACACCTGACTGGTTCTTAATACTGAAAATTAAGTTTAAGAAGTCTTTGAAAGGCATAAAGAAGTGATGCACATAAGGAAGAGAATAAATGGATATCAACTTCTTTATTATGAGGAACACAACGTTTCGGAGCATATGCTTATTCCCTCATCAGGTTGTGTATTTAACAAGTTGATGTATTTACTGGACAATAGAAACAGATTAGAGTCGGCCACTCTTTAATGTTGATGCGTGAAACAACACGGGGTAAACCTATCCAAACCTATCCACTAGCCGGGCTATTGGGACGACCCCGAAACAATATATCCACATCAGTATGGAGTAGATGATACCTTTCATGAGATGATTCATTACCAAATTATTGATATACATGTATGTTCATTTCAGAGCATATTGATAGTACGTGAATTATATAAACAGGCTGTGTATCAATCTCAGGGGACTTTTAGAAAGTTTTGCTGCTCAAGTGTAGCGATCACGTACATTACATCTACATTCGATGTAGCTGTATTGATTTAATTCATACAATATATATCCCGGGTGCAAAAATACATTGAATCATTGAATAATAATGTAAACATTTTGACTGAATTTATTGAATCAGTCTTGTTGATAAATGTCTTAACATTTCTGTTTGAATGTTCCAAAAACATGTCTTTGTCACCTTTGAAATCCTGTAAGAGACATTGTCGCTTGTACTAAACAAGCAAAAAGTGTCAACATTATTATTCAAAGCACGACCATGCCAAATAATAATAATAAATGCGTACATAGGATATCAAATTTAGATCCCCCGATCGTCTTTTATTTATAGGGGGCACGGGTGGCCCAGTCGTCTAAGGCGCCGCGATTCGCTGTGCAGAGTTGCGTCCCTTGGGCACGCCAGAAACCTATGATTGTGGGTTCGAATCCCAGTTCGCCCCGATTATGTTTCTAGGATTGTCAGCACCATACCCGTGCTCGTGGGTTTAACCGAAGTGGTAAACGTCTGAGACCTCGGGCTTTCCTCCCACATTAAGCTGATACGCCACGATGTAACTGGGATATTGTTAAAAGCGGCGTTAAACCTAACTCACTAACTCACTTTTATTTATAGTAAGTCAAAATATATTGTTCTCATCTTTGTTGTCACTATCTGCCTCTCAAAATTGTTCATCTCGTGCATTTTACGAACGCTTCAGTTACTTCATTCTTCTGTGGTAACATTGGATGTGTGTCGCCTTCAGATTGACTGTCGGTAACTGGAAAATACTATCTGTTTCATCTTAACTATTCATAATTCTCAATGACAGTTGTTCTTAACTGTTAGTAGAATACATGGCCACTACAAGGATACACGAGGATATCTTATACCGTCAGCTCATACTGAAATCCTTCCGTCACATATAAGTTATTTGTTTGTCATATAGTTGTTTCTGAGTAGTAAATATCTGTGTCTTTGTTTGTTCAATATCCCCATCATGGCCACCTCTCTGACGCCACGACATCACGACAGTGCCTTGACAATCATTGTCACCATCACGACAGTGCCGTCACAATCATTTTCAACATCACTACAGCGCCTTGGCAATCATTGCCACCATCATGACAGCGCCTTGACAATCATTGTGACCATCACGACAGCGCCTTGACAATCACTGTCACCATCATGACAGCGCCTTGACAATCATTGTCACCATCACGACAGCGCCTTGACAATCATTGTCACTATCACGACAGCGCCTTGACAATCATTGTTACCATCACGACATCGCCTTGACAATCATTGTCACCATCATAACAGCGCCTTGACAATTATTGTCACTATCACGACAGTGCCTTGACAATCATTGTCACCATCACGACAGTGCCTTGACAATCATTGCTTTCTTCTCCTCTGTCATGTTGATGTCGCTGCCCACTACAAGTGTCATGCTGACAGTGAGGCGAGATGGGTTATACACCCCGAACATCGGCCACAGTGGCTGACTGGAGTCTACATTGTCTAACGTCGACATCACTTTATTCTCCTTCACATCAATGAAGACAATCTTCTTCCTGGCGTCATCATAGACAACACCGTAATGTAGTGTGTGTGATGCCCCTGCTGTGTTGGGGAGAGTGTCAGGCAGACACAGCACATACTTCCCCTCCTTCCATGTCCACCTGCATATCCCGCCGTGTGTAGGACAGCGGGAGACATCCAGGCTGTAGGAGCTGGGTTGTGGATTGATACAATGATGCACGTCCCTCTGCTCCTCCCCACATATACCAACCTCCAGGATGAGGTCGCCCCCTGTGAGTGGTTTGTCCAGACTGACCCTGTTTACCATCTCCCAGTACTGGGGACAGCCAGCCCGGGGGAGGGGGGCAGTGCTACATGTGCCCTTGTACTTCTTCAGTCTCCCATCCCCTGCAGGTCTGGTGTCCGACTTGCTGTTGACCAGGTCTCCTTCTGTGTTGATGTGGACTTTGTCGAGATTGACTCTGTCTTTGTCATACTTCAGATGTATACCTACAACATATGAATGTAGTTTACATGTACTTAAACAAACAGTGATGATTAAGGTGTATCGTGATATTTAGATGGTTTCGTGATTTATAAATAACTACAATCTACTCAACTACAAATAATGTAACAAAAAAACAATCACATCACAGAAGTGAAGAAGGCATTTTGATATATAACATATCAATATATCAACATTATAAAATGATACTACATCATCAGATATAATTGCGGATGCTATTTTGATTTACTTAGGCTTAAACGTTGCGTGATAATCACGCTGAAGGCGATGACAGAGAGTTACTGCTCCCACACGTCGTCTTATAACAGAAACACGGTATAACGAGCAACATGTACATTGCAAACAAATAACACTATGTCACGTGGCCAGGCGGCCTCATTCGGCAGCTGTGTGAAGTGTTCTAGGCGCATGCTTTGAAGATCATTCAAACATTTTCCGGAATTGTCATTATTGTGATAATGTCCTTCTGCTTTTTACATGATAATATACTGTTATGGGCATACAGCACCTGGCTTATTTGGTAGTATACATACCAGCCTGGAGATTGTTGATAAAATTGATTACGCGTCTTGTTGTGACAAGAAACTTCGTGCAGCACGTGCGAAATAGATTACGACTGTAAAACCATGGTGACACCGCTCTTGCTGAGGCGCTTTCGATTTGAATGTTCTCGTTTTAGAAATCAGCAGACGGTCACTTGGCGCCGTCGTCAACACTTTAGTTCAGGATTATTCTAACTTCAATGTTCAATGTACTGCCGACATTGATTTTTGTGGAACTAGGAGGAAACGCGCTCATCTTGGTTCAAGGAGAAAGGTTTGAGAGGGTCTGTTACACAGCGACAAGTGGGAACGAAAACAATGGAAATATAACAAACTGTACAGTACCCGTTGTCGCAAACGTATCCATAGTATCTGTCACGTGGTCACGCGCACGTCATTAGGTATACCAAAACATTGATTTATCTTCTCGATTCATAATGAATAAAAATATAATGACAACTTAATACCTACGAAAACCTCTGAGAGACGAGGTACACATGCATGGGGATATCTTCTGGATGTGCTGGCCACAAGAACTAGGATACATCCAGGTTGATTGATAATAGTATTTTTTATGCGGGGTGGGGATGATTGCAGTAACTGCATTTTGTTCTAACTCATAGTTAAGAATAGCGTTATCGCGGAAGCCTGAAAATAATTGAGAGTGAGCAAGACACAGCATGACATGTGGCTTGTACGAGTGTTTTCAGTTGAATGCAACTATTAAATAAACAGATTACGTTTAGATGAGATGTAACACAATCGTCCATGTATAATGACACCAACACTTGCCATGTAAATATCACATATCACGTTAACCCATGGTGCTCATAATTCAAGGGTAAACTATGCAGCACTGGATTGTACGTGTATTCTGCACGATGCACATCACCTGGGGGACGTCGGAGGCAGAATACATCCCCTTCACATACATGTTTGTTGTAACAGGGGACAATATAGATTGAGTGAGTGAGTTAAATGCCGCCTTAAGGAATATTCCAGCATTATGTCGGCGGGGAACGCCCTTAATGCGCTTCAAGTCTTGTACCAATGTGGGGAATCGAAGCTGGGACTTGGACGTGCGACTAGAAAGTGTTGGGTTCAATGATTGACCTGGGTGATCGTGTGTCATCGTACCCCGACAACGTTGATCGTTGCTGAGACCATCAAATAACGATGTATCCTGCCCAGACTCGATTACCACCGTGAATCGGGTAAAATATTGCTACATGAAACCTGAAGCAACATTCACTCACTCACACACAGAGGCGACACCTGTCAACTTCTCCGCCTGACTGACATAAAATGACAGACAGCTGTCAACCATCAATAGATTATAAGAGCTAGGTAGTTGGATAAGGGGAAGTTGTGTTTCAACCCCATATACAAATGTAATTCCCTGTCACTGCAAACACGAAAACGTCGTTTTTTTCCGTATATGGTCATTGGACGGAAAAACGACTAAAAATTCATTAAAATTGATTAATTGGTCAGCGTCTAGAAAGTGTCCAGAAAAGGGTCGAGTTTTTCAAGCGTAAAATGGACGGAAAAACGATGCTTTTTGCTCCGCCTTGTACAACTGTTTACGGCCAATCAGATGGCGCTGGTCCCCCGACGCACGTGATGTCCAAGGCTTCCTTTCGGAAGCTTTAGGTTTCGTATTTCTGGCATGCCTTGCTCTAGTATCTGTCGCGCGCAGTGCAGCGAGATTTGCTGATAAGCTAGTTTTAGGATATGTTACATGTTAATGGAATTCAGACACGCGCCAAGAAGTCAAACCAAACAATGTTACTAAGTTTATTGTGGTAACGGCTATGTACAGTTACCCCTATCGGATAATGGGTTGTGTTTCATTTGGTTATAACAATAACTATTTTTTTAATGTGAAGTTTACAAGATATACGACTTGGACGGGAGGTCGGTCACATGGCGTTCTTCACGTGACTGTATTCTTGAAAAGGCGTAAACACTGACTACTTCCACATTCCTGGGGAAAACCCTTGGAATTCCCTGGTACGAATTCATACAGAAGTGTGGTTGCAAGCCCATTTAAGGATACCCTCGCTACAACCCATCCCAGAGAGAAAAAACACGAAAAAAAATCCAAACTGTCGCAGTGACAATTTACAGAAATCTATGAATTTACCTTAGTATCTATTTGACACATCTTCACAATCACCTTTCAATGATCGGCCAATTGATCAGTGATGCCAAAGGCTTGAAATAGCCACAGGTTAATTAACAACTTCGAAAATATCTCCCGTCACGTTTATCGTGTCGGCCATTTTGACGTATTGTACTTGATGTAAATGTATTACGACGCTCTGTCATTGTAATTGACTTACTGAGGTAAATCTGTAAAAGATCTTCTCATCTAATGAGGATATTGTTTGGAATATATTTCTTGTAAACATACTAAAACATATGTTCCTCGCTTTGGGGGGAACTATTTTATTCCGGGGTGGCCCATTAAATCTAGCAGAAAGTCAAGGCACCATGCGTGATCTGTTATTTTATGTGTTTAAATTACGATTTGGGGCGTTAATAAAATACACTGACGCAAGTGTATTCTATTCAAATCAATTGGATAATTTAAAATATGCTTTCTTTTACATATTAAATAACATCACTGCACAAAATATGAACAGTTGCAGTAACACACTACGGTAATCGCATTAAACATCATTTTCAACTGTACAGTATTTCAGTTTTTCAGTTATATCATGGTGTATCAGACTGATGTGGGATAAAAATCCGAAGTGGTTCAGGTCATCCAATGGGTGTTCGGGAAAAGGTGAGCGTATCCTGCCACACAAGTGGCACCCGTCACAAACACATGCAAGGACAAGTCAATTGTTCACCTGAACAAAGCACGGAAACACACAATGATGCCCGTCCTCAGTTATACCGAGCATGTAAATTATTTTGTCCGTCAAAAACATCGACGAGTATAAACAATATGTTCATTCACGTAATACATGTCATACATTTGACAAAATGTATTGACTCGGAGCATTATTGTTAATCACAGCGTATGCAGTTGAACTCATCACCCATCCCATTATTGATAACCCTTCTTAAAGATCTATGAAATCAGAAGCTGCAACACTCTATCTTTTAACTGGCATGTCAGACTTCTATTTCATTACTCAGTTTTAATTTGCACGGATTACTATGGAAGGGACATTGTCTCGTTGTCGCATTGTCGCATTGACGCCTTTACAAAAACAAGCAAAACTTGTCAAAATTAACAAAAGCGCGACAATTGGCCATTTGTCGCATTGTCGCGTGTTCGCATTGTCGCTCTTTGATAATCCTTTTCTTTATTTTACAAAAGGGCGACGATGCCGTAACGCGACATTTTCAAGGTCAAAATATGTCTCGTTGTCGCATTGTCGCCCCATCACAAATGTGTATAAAAGGCGTAAAGTTCAGTTATTGTTACAGTTAGGAAGTTCAACCTGATAAATGTACGTCTTGAAATGAAAACACAAGTCCGTCCGCGAGTCCATAACGTTTTATTGTGAGCTCTTCTCTAAAGTGCTTAGTGTTCAACTCCCAGTTCCAAACACGTAATACCTCCTCAATAATCCACATACCTCCAGTGCAGTGGTCTTCCGGAAGATCTTACTCTTGACCGTATTAGACAACTGACGAGTGCACGCCTGACCTGTGACCTCGTTGCAACCCTCGTGATGTGTTTGCCGAAGGGAGAGGTGTAGGAAATGTGTGCTCCAGCCCAGCGCAGAGCTCGCGACACACTGTATACTGATGCAATTGATATACTGTATACTGCATGTGATACTTATTTGCGGAAATGTTACAACTTTCAAGATTCAAGATTCAAGATTCAATTTGCATATATTTCATATACAACAGACCGCCGTCATATATCACTCGAATACTGCTGAGATCTAGAGCGGCGTTAAAACAAATTGCTTTCATAAAGGAGCGCTGCAGTCATTTAAAATAGAACCGTATATATATGTACATGTAGTACCAACTCACTCTATTTGTTTCGAATATTCAGCAGAAAATACATTATTAACCAGGTCTTTGGGAAAAGATATCAGATTTTTATAAGCAGCCACATAGGGATGATAAAGGACCCCTCTCTGATTAGGTTCTTGTTTACTTAAGAGCAGAGTTGGCCATGTTAGATGATATAACCAAAATCCGGGAGCTCCGGCGGGGGGCAAGCTGGTCTTGTTAGTGTATGGTATGAGCTGTGACGTTGACCCAAGAGAATAATGTAAAACATGAGACCAACTCAAGTCTATAATGATTGGGAAAGTCTAGATTTCCACAGCTCTAGCCTGAAATTAAGAATTGTTCTATGCTCCATTTTATTTGTATTATTTTCATTTTGTAGACATGGATGGACCAACCAGGAAAGAAATTGATGGAATATTAATATCACATGTTACCACTGATCCAGTTAA